ATATTTGTGTTGTTTACATTATAATTTTTTTTTCAATTTGAAATTCTTTTCTTTTAATAATTCCAAACAGAAACTTAGTTTTGATTTGCATTAGAAATAATTTTTCTTTTCAACTTAAAATTCTTTTTTAATTTCTTTATCTTTAATTTTTTTACTCACAAGTAATTTTTTACCTCTTAGAGATATTTTCTATCTTATATTATTAGCATTTTTATTTTTTAATAATTTCAGATAATATTTAATGTTATAGTAATAAAATATATAAAAAAAAATTTACTTTAAAATATTTTATTTTACTGTAAAAAACTACTGCAATAGGTAATTTTCATACATCCCACCATTCCATACTCAACCACTCTTATATAGATATATATAGTAGGGATATAAGAAAAAAAATATCTTTTATATAAAAAAAAAATATTTTACAAAAAGTTACTTTTAAGTAAAAAATTTGAAGAAAAAAGAATTAAAAAGAATTTTAATTTTTGTTGTTCACATTATAATTTTTTTTTCAATTTAGAATTCTTTTCTCTTAATAATTTCAAACAGAAACTTAGATTTGAGAATTTTTTTCCTGTGTAATTTTACATTATAAATAATAGTTTTTTCAATTTAGAATTTTTTTAATTTTTTTCTTCAAATTTTTTATTATTAATCAGTATTTTTTAATAGTTTGAGATAAAATTTAATTTTCTAGTAATAATTCAATATATAAAATGATGAAAAAAAACATTCACTCCGTGCATAGAGAAAATTTTTTCGTCATACCGCATAATTTTTTTTAGCAAAATGATGCATTGAGAAAATTGTTGCGAAAAAAGAATAAATAGTAATAAAATAATTGATTTTTTTTAAAAAAACGACGTATATGCATTTTTAACACATACGTTTAATTTTCGTTTAACTATTTACGATATTTATTTAGATCATCTGATATCTCTACGATATAATTCTCAAAATGAGTTTCAAGAGAATGTAAAATATTTATCGATTCGACTATCGTATGATTGTCGACGAATTTTTAAAATTAGCTTGTTATCGAAAATTTCGAAATAGTAATAAAATAATTGATTTTTTAAAGAAAAACGACTTATGCGTATTTTTTAACACATACGTTTAATATCCGTTTAATTATTTTTCATATCTATCTAGATCATTCGATGTCTCTACGATATAGTTCTCAAAATGAGTTTCGAGAGATTGTAAAACATTTATCGACTCGACTATCGTACAATCGTCGATGAGTTTTCAAAGTTAGTTTGTTATCGAAAATTTCGAAATATAGTTTGAAAATGCCTACTTTGACGTCCGATAACATTTGCTATGATTGACCATTTCACGCACCGTTAACGACGTGCAATAATATGCCGCGATCACTTCAAAACGATATTAAGAATATAATATTTCGATTTCGTTTGATATCTCGTAATGAGCCTAAAAATGAACACAAAAATATAAGTAAAAAAAAAAAACATTATTTCTCTCTCCGTGCACGGAAACCTTTTGGTCTCTGTGCATGGAGAGTCCTTCATTTTTTTTTATTTTTTTTCCTCCGTGTGCACAGAGACAGTGTGTCCGTGCGTGGAGACTAATGTCTCCATGCACGGAAGCTTTTGCTCCGTGCGCGGAGAGATTAATTTAATTTTTTTTGTTGTGTAGTTTTACGTTATAATTTTTTTTTCAATTTAAAATTCTCTTTAATTTTTTCTCTTCAAATTTTTTACTTACAAGTAATATGTTGTAAAAAAATTTCTATCGCATATTATCTGTATCTTTTTTTTTTTTATATATAAATGTGATTTTTTTCTTATATCTCTATTATATGTATTTATATCGGAGTGTGGGAGGAATGAAAATTACGTGTTGCAGTAAATTTGGAGGTAGTGTATAATAAAATAAAATATATATCAAGCAAACGGCGTCGTTTTTGGCCCCCCAATTGGAAAAAAAAAACAAAAATGCTACAATAAAAATGGATCAAAACACTGTTACTTTCTACAGTGCCTTTACATTCCCTTTTTTTATATAGTAGAGACAAGGAAGGTCTTCCACATTACATGTGCATTGCACCCATCATTCAAGCTTTACATACACCACTTATTGTCCATATACTTAAATATTCAAGAGCTTGGTGATATAATAATCATAGAGGAAGGCTCCCTTGAGGCCATGAGTATAAAGAATGCACGGACCCTGGTCAACTTGGACATATACCGCGATTTACCTCCACTAGTCACTGAGGGGTCGGGAGCTAGGGGTCCAAGATTTAGTCGGGCGAAGCTGGGACACCTGGGTTATAAAAAAAAAAAAAAAAATTCAATAGCTATACTCTATAATGACCGTACACAAAAGGTAGGTGTAAGGATTGTCTCATGTAGCAAAAATTAGGGATGGTAAAAATGCCTATTAAACTCGATACCCGCTTCGAACAGGGTGGAGATTCCTGCTTAATTGGATAATCGGGTCAGGTACGGATAACGGGGGCTCACCCCGCCCCCTTTAAATATTTTTTTTGTTTTTTAAATAATTTAATACTTTAAATAAAAAAACTCAACGACATTTTATTAATTCTAATAGAAAATGACAACTAACATTATCTAAAGAGTATGATAAACAATAAAAGCATTAATTTATCAAACATATTAAAATAATTTAACTTTTAAGAATAAATAAATTATTTAAAAAATTTGATAATCACTTGAATAAATGTGGGTAATAAAATAAACTATTAAAAAAATAAATTAAATGAGTAGTTGCCGTCTCTAGCAAAAATGGAAAGGGCACGATATGAATAGTCTGACTTTCAATTATCACTTGTTGAAATTGCGCATTATTAAAGAAGATTTTTCTCAATTTCGCTACGAAAATTCAGAGGCTGCACATAATTTTCATACAACAAAACGAAAAAAGAAAGGGAAAAACTGGGAACTTTTTGTCATTTTTCAGTGTACGATCGAAAGATTATACAAATTAGTGGCCCAAAGTAAATATGTATTCCTGTCCTTATCCTATCCCTTCCGTCCTCTGTTAGATTTCAAACTGTCTTTTTCATTTTTGGAAATAATTTTCGTATGGATAAAAATAATGTTTATAGTTTATTTCTTTCTCTTTTTGTACAAAGTGATTTATCATTATAACGTTTTTGTCAAAAATAAATTTTTATTTTATAAAAATGAAAAAGTTAAATGTATTCAAGATTTTGAACATAACAAGGTTAATGTCAAGAGTATAGAAAAATAAAAAGTAAAGATAATGCTGGTAAGTGATAAAAATTGTCAATCCTATTCTCTTGAAATTGTTAACAAAATAAATCAGACTTTATAATTTTAAACATATTATTATTAAACATTGTACAAAAATTAATTTTGTGAAATTAAATTTTTTTCTTTAGAATTTATGGTGGAAAAATAAAAAATAGTTTGTGTTCGGTGGAAATTAAATTTATATTTTTAGCAAAATTTTGATAAATATCGATAAAATGTGTGATTGAAAAATTATGGAATTCATTAAATATATAACTAAAATTAATTATCGATTTTGACTTTAATAAAAATTTTGATTATAATTTTATCTCTGGGCTTACATGATTGAATAATGCTCCTTGAACAGGGAGAAAAATAGGTTGCAATGATAGGATGATTTGGCAGCTCCGAATTGAGTGTTTTCATCCTTTTTTTTTTCCCTCCAATTTTCAATGAAAATTGTCTAATATTGTTTGAAAAATAAAATAAAATCTGTCATTGATTCTGGTTTTATTGCACAATTGATAAGTCACTATACATATTTCGTAATTTTTTTTATGGACCGTCCTACACGTACATAATCATTTGCCTAATCGTTTACCTACTATTCACATTGTTTGGAAATGACCTCGATTCGAATTATTAAATTACACATGGGACTCATATGAGGGTGTAGGGTTGGCAACGGTTCGGTTATGGGTCGGTTTGGCCAAAACCATAACCGCACCATAACCACGTAAATCGGTTCGGTTCGATTTAGTTTTTATCTCGGTTCGGCACGATTCGATTCGGTTAATAACCACAAAAATAAATTATTTTTTATAGGTTCATCCGTCAAATTGATATAAAATAATTTATGAAAAAAGTCAATGAAAACAAAAACACAATATTCCAAAAGAAAATGCAAACATTATCAAACAATATTCCAAACGTAAATGCAAACATTATCCTAATTTTCAATTGTAAAATACAAATTTAACAAACAATATTATAAATACAATAATACTAAACTTTTCCTTCATTCTTAATTGTTGTGCATCGAAGTTACTTGATGCATTCTTCCCTACAAGTCTTACTAGCATAGATCAGCATTCAAAGTTGATTCCTATTTATCCTTGGCAATATTGATACGTCTAGAAAAATATCGAACTCTATTTTTACATGATCATCAGTAATAGAATGACTAACAAATGTAACAAATTTTTAGAGGCAACGACGATTTGGACCGTAGAGGTAGTGGAGCTGTGCGTGAGTTTGTGGTTGTGGAGAGTAGGGTTTGCATTTATATACTGTCATACTAATTCTATTATGGGCTAATGGTAAGTGGACTGACTGAATGAGTCAGGTAGATGTAATGAGGAGAGGAGGGATTTTGTTTTGATTTGGATAGAAAAGTAGTGTAAAGCCCATTATCAATTCATTTTTTTTTAGCGGGTAATCGATTTGGTTTCGGTTCGACGACTTAAATATCATACCCGCACCATTACGAACCGGTTCATTAAAATCAAAACCATATCCGCCCCATTGCACAATCGGTTCGATTTTTTTCGCCCCATTCGGTTCGATTAATCGCGATTTTCGATTTTAACGGTTCAAATTGCCATTTCTATGGGGGTGTAAACGGCTTGGTACAACCTTTCGGTACAAACATCTTTATCGTTTTTCTATCATAATATATTAAAATATTAATTTACATACTTTATGCCGTTTCATTCAATCATATTTTTTAAACTATTTATAGTGGAGTTTCACTGTAGTCTATATTCCAATTACGAACACTGCTTACATGATTTCTGGTTAAAGCTTTTCAAAATGCTCCATTTTCCACATTCACACAAATGTTATTGGGTTTTTAATAATTACAGTTTTGTTACGCAAACCCACTTTTTCTTCATCCCATCGCCGTTATCCCTCCTCTATATATATACATACTTGTATGTATTTCGTACAGATACTTTTTTTCTATGATTTACAGTTTTCTGGCGTTCAATGGAAGGTCAGTTTCCCTTTTGTTGAATTGATTATGATATTTTCTGTTCAAGTGTATACTTTTACACACTTATTTTCATACATGTGCAGTAGATATTGAAAAGAGATAGTTGTCCTTTATTAGAGTTTAGGTATCTTCCATGCAGCAAATACTAATTTAAGTTTCTGGGAGTTAATTTTAATTTTTGATGACTATCTGTTCTGATGATTAATATGTTTTCTTTTCTATGGTTTATTTGAATTATGATTTTTTTTGACATCAAACATGAAAATAATTATTTGGAATTGGGAGGCCTAGATTGAATTTTGGCCGAGGTATTGTTGGAATGATAAAAATATTGGGAATCGATGTATACGGGTTTTCTATGCATGGAATGTTTCTATGAATTATTTTGAATGCTTAAATGAAATTTTTTTCATGGTTAAAAAATGATATGAAGGTTCAATTTTTACCTTTCTGAATTGGGGGAAATGATTCTTTAATAAAGAGAATACCTCTTAAATATCTTTATATTTCAAAGTGATTTGTAGATCAACGACTCTGTTTTTATGTGATGGAATTAATAAATTAAATCAATTGGTTTTCCTATGAATTCAATTTCAAGCTTCATGTTCATCGCGTTACTCACATCATAAGACTTGTTTTTCTAGAGTGTAATTTGAGCTCAACATGTGGATGCATATACACCAACCTCATATTATCCATGTGAATATATCAGTTAATTGTCTAGATTACGGAGAAATCTCTATCTCAAAAGTTATGTTGAAATTCATCTAATCTTGCAATGACTGAAACTGAAAGGAACCTAAGTTTTTCCTCCTCTCATGAACAATTCAGCTGATTTAACAATTAGCCCCCATTTGGGCTCCATTAAAATGAATTTTTGTGAAAAAAAGGTGTTTTGGAATTGTATTTTTTTGGAGAATGTGTGGTTAATAAATAAAGAAAAGTTCTGGGTTTACGTGTAACTTTTTTCATGGGAGAATATGTGATTGAAAATAAATTTTTAAAAAATAGATCCCAAACACGTGCTTAACTTTTACTGGGAGAAAGATTTTCATTGAAGACTTGGCTTTGTGGAGTTATAGTAGAAATTACTGATGTTGGGGTGAATTCATGGATTCTTTATTTCACTTAATTATTTAAAGCTCTCTAGATTACCTTTTCCATATGATAATGATTGTTCTAGTTAACTTAAGACCTCTTATTAGCATCAGATACTAACAGCATTAAATATCCTGAATGATTGTTTGAGACATTTACCAGATACAATTTGGTAATGTTTCTCCTTCTTTCTTTCAAAAACTGAAAATTATCTGAAGATAAATAGATACATTTGTCAATGTTTCATGGGGTTCATTTTAGGAGGATCATGTTCTTTGTCTTCTCCTTTAATTAATATGCAAGAGCTGACCATAAATATCATAGCCTTAAGGCATTCCAATTATCCAATGGACAATCAACTGTATGTCTCTTATGTTTTGTCAACAATGGTGTTATTTGGAGAAAAATTTGTTTACAAATATTTTGCAATTACTGACCAAATGAGATTCTTTAATTATTATTATTTTTCCCCCTAAAATCTGTTTGTGAGTTGTGGTTTCGCGAGTTTACATCTTGGAACCACTGCAGTGTTCTTGGATGAAGACACATCTTGAGTTGATGAGAACTTACTGAAAGAAGTAATAATGTATAAGCCGGAATCAGATTTTGCTCCTTGGAATTTTTCAATGTAGACCAAATCTTTAGTAATAATTACTATGGGAACAGCACTCAATATTATGTAAAAATATCCGATGAACAATACATTAGAGACAGTCATTGTGATTCAGAATGTTGCAGCATTGGCAATGATAAGATTTATACACATGCTCTTCAAGAAGAATTATCACAATTATCAATTACCGAGGCTCCTAAATTATCAGGTTATGGGGAAAAATCTTTTCAAGACTCCACTGTTGACCCGAGCCATAGCCCTTTAAGTAACTATTATCTTGGTATGTTGATTCTCGTACTTACTGCCTGTTCCATCGTATGCTGAATCCTGTTATTATACATATCAAATAAAAAGAACAGAATTTGCAGGACATGAGGGTGGCCTGGGAGACACTGATGATGGGCAAGATCATTCTTGTACTTTGGAAATTACAGATGAGTCTGTACTTGATGGTGAAGTTGAAAAGAGGTTATACCAGCTGAATCCGGTTCCCGTAAGTATATGTTCCATGAAGTCCTTTAATATCTCATTGAAGTGTTTACTGGATAATTCATATTCTACTACGGAGCCCGCAGTAACTTTCGTGACTATGTCATATGGCTTTTTCTTGATCTGTTTTTCATTTGAGATACCAACATGATACAGCTTATTGTATTTTCTACATATTCTGATGTTGAAGAAGCTGATATATAAAACTTTTGAACTTGAGCAAGTGAGGGTTGGGTGCATAACACTGTTACTATTTTATTTCTGTCTGTCTGACATTAATAACAGCGGAAAGTTTACATATTTGAATATTACAATGATAGTAATATCAAAAGTGTTTCCATATGAGTAGTTGCCTTGTGAAATTTTAGCCCCCTTATCTGCATAGAAGTTAAAAATACTGCGAAATCAAGGACATATTGATCTGTTTCTTAAAACAAACACATATGTTGTAAGTAATCATTTGGCTCAGAATATTCATTGCACATTGTATTTATGATTCATAAAGTAATATTAGTGCCCTAGCCCATGACAAGCTCTTCATGGTAGTATCATAGAGAAGGAAAGATCAAAAATTGAAACCTTTCAAGTTTCAACCACTAATCATTTATGATAATTAGAACTGAAGTCTTTTATCATTTTATACAGCACGTTCCAAGAATTAATGAAGGCATACCTTCTGTCGATGAAGCAACTTTAGACCATCAAAGGCTGCTGGATAGGTACTTGCTGCCCTCTTGTTCACACATTGAGTGGGATTAAAATTTGTGCATCAGATATATCTTGTATAGTAGCACCCCTTTCTCATCTGGAACTGGCCCACCCCTCAAATGAGACTCAAAGCCTAGTCTCTTGAAATATTAGTAATTGAATCTGTTTATTCTTATTTATACTACAAGTTCTCCATGCAGTATAGCCTATTTTTGTTCTGTTAGATGGAAGTCACTTGTGCTTAAATTCTAACCCACCATGCATATTATCCATGATTCACATGGATTATTTTGTATGACAAGACTTTGGTCTTCATCAGACATAGAATATGTAACCTTTGTTGGTCAGTTAATGGGCCGAGTCTATAATTAGGATTTATGTTGGATGCTTTTTTGGTTTCAGATTGCAGTTATATGACTTGGTTGAGCACAAAGTTCTAGGGGATGGAAACTGTCAAGTTAGTTGCTGCAACTGTTTCCCAGCTATTGTAGTGCATTTTTTCTATTTCAATTGTCTCGTTCCTTCATCTGCAAATTAATTGCCTGTGTAGGAAGTTATTAATTTTAAGCTGCCACCAAAATAAAAACTCTATCTGGTAGAGCTGTTGTTTATTGATTGTTTTGTGATAAATTTGTGACTAGCTAAAAGCACGCGCTAGCAAAAATCCCTCTTTTTTCCTGTTTCATTCCTTTCAAGTTCTTATTACTCAAGTTTTGACTAATATTAAGAAGCAATGAAAATCATGGCTTGTCATTAATTCAGTGCTGAAAATTTCGAGGACTTACAAGATTTCATCTATCTTTATAAAAAATGAAGATGATGGGTAATCCTTAAATCTTTGTGCTTGATCCTTGGTATTCTCAATATTTTTGGTAGCTTAAGAATTAATGCTTGAAATGGTAATTCCATTTTTCTCCAGAAATGAACCCCACTCTCTAGTACACGACAACATAGATATGGGTAATTGACAAGCTTTCACTAAATGAACACTGCTGTTAATCTATCTGCAAGTGGTAGTGCTTTGTATATTTGATGTGAATGAAGAAAAAGGGGACAATGTTATCTTAGCGTCTGATCAAAAAGTTAGTGAGAGTTTTGTTTTTGGAGTTCCATTATTAGTGACCATACTTGGATTGGGGCAGATGGATATTACGTAGTTGTTTTCCATGTCCATGCATGCCTACTGGTTGATCTGTTGACATAGGCAGTTCACGTAAATGTTCACTTCTAAGTTCTAACACCTCTTAAGAATTTTGAAAATGTGTATACATTTGCAGAGTTCCAATGTATCTCATGTTTTATCTAGGAATGACACAGAGGTGATTAGTTATCTTGGTATCCATGTCTTTAGAAGATTGCTAATGTGACTTGTTGCTTTGGGCATTCTTACTGGTTTTTTTGATCCTTATATGCTTTCCACCTTTCACTTCCTCCTTTTATTTTATTTTATTTATATTTTTTTTTTGGCCATGTCAAATACATTGTCATATTATTCATATGTAGAATTTTCCTCTCTTCTGCTTTTTAACAGGTTCTCAAAATTTTATATATGACTTTTTATCTTATAAATTATTTGAATTTTTTCATCTTTCCTTACTTCTCCCCCTTGTCCTCCAGTTCCGTGCTTTATCAGATCAATTCTATCAGATCCCTGAGCACCACATATTTGTGAGACAGCAAGTTATCAATCAGGTGGTTTCAGTTACCTAATGAAATTGTTGTTCAGGATTTCTTTTTTCTTTGGCTGCATGCTCAAATTCATTTGATCCATTATCTAACCACTGACCCTTTTCTATGCATTGGATTGTTCAGCTTAGAGCTCATCCAGAAATGTATGAGGGGTACGTTCCCATGGATTATGGTGAATATCTGGAAAGAATGTCCAGGTGCTATTGAAGTCTTTGGCTTGTTTTATTGGATGAATTGCTAAGTATTACTTTCCTTTTAGGCTCTATAAATTGAATTAAATGCTTACCTTTCAATATTTAATGAAATAGGAGCGGAGAGTGGGGTGATCATGTCACTCTTCAGGCTGTCGCAGATTCGGTATTGATTACCTCATCTTAAGCACTTATTTTGTTCACTGAAAAGAAGTGTGTGTGTGTTAGTAGAACTGACCGGTGTCCTTTTCTGCAGTATGGGGTAAAAGTTCTTCTCATAACTTCATTTGAGGACACATGTTACATTGAGCTTCTTCCCAAGGACCAAAAGTCTAAAAGAGGTATTTTGTTTTGGGCTTCTTAAGATTGTAGCATGCATTCTTTACGTTTTAACGGAACAAAAGTACATAATTAATGGGTTAGGGTGTAGAGTTTAAAATGTAGTATATAAAATATTATTACAACTACAATACGAAATAATAAACTCTCAAAGTGTAAAATCGAACCAAAACTACCCAAAGCTTCTTCAACACCACCAATGAAGTGTTCTTGATGTTGAGCTTAGATTTGTGCCACACTGGATCATTCACCGTCGTCCATGGGAATGGCAATGGATATACCGAGAAAGGATCCGCCGGAAGCCACCAAGAATTTTGCCGGAGTTATGGAAAGTTCCCACTTGGCTACCTCTCTATGCTCTCTCTCAAATGTTATGCCAAATCCAAGAATGAGAGAATGAAGGGGTCTTGTAATTATAGAGTCAATTCATTTGAATTTAAAATTCAAATATTGTACTATGGTCAACGAGAGAGTGACAACACTAGTATAGGTAATTGACCACAAGATTAAATTCAACCATTAGATTTAATTTATGGTCTATATTACTCTATATCTAGCACAATCTATATCACATTCTCTAGACTGATAGCCTTGCACCAATAATAGGATGTAATCCACCTTACAATTCTTCACCTTGGATCACATAACATCCATCGCCAAATTTCCCGATTACAAGTGATATCCATTAGTGTGGTCTTATTTTTATCATCATCGCTCACTCCAGCTTAGTACCTGCACAACAATTAACCATTATCAATACTTAGTATTGATAAACATTTGTTGAATTTACCAACCGTAAGTACTTTTGTTCCAACATGTGCAGGGTTATCATCAGTTGCAATTTTAAACAAACTAAAATCACCGGAAGCTAACCTCTTACTAGTGAAGTGATACTTCACCTCAATATGCTTAGTACGTTCATGATAAACATGACTATCGGTAAAAATTATAGTATCATCATTTGAGAAGTTTAATTCATATAGAAGGTCTTTTAGCCACATGCATTCCTTTACAGCTTCATTTAATGCAACATATTCTGCTTCAGTGCTGGAGAGTGTAACTATAGGTTGCAACTGTGATTTCCAAATGATACAATTATCACCTAAAGTGAAGAAATAAGAAGTGGTAAATTTTCTCTGATCTTTATCCCCTGCAAAGTTAGTTAGAATCTACATATCCTTTAAGTTCTAATTTGTTACTTCTTTCAAACACTAATCTCCTTTTCAAAGATCCAACTAGGTATCTTAATAGCCATTTAAGTGCAGTCCAATGTGGTTTACTTGAGTTAAACATAAACCTACTCAAAAAACTAACCCCAATGTGTCCCATCCTTTTATGCTAAAGATCTTATTTATCTTCACAAACTAAAGATAATGCCGACTCTTTGCTATCCAAAGTTTTACCTTAAAGGACATATACCTCATTCTTCTTGGAACCTTTCATAACCAATAGAGATCCTTTACAAATTTTTAAAGTACCAGTATGAGATTTGAACTTATGACCTTCTTCTTCTAGAGTGCCTAAGGAAATGAGATTCCTTGCCAGGCCCGGGATATACCTAACATCTCTAAGGGGTCTGATAATGACATCATGCATCCTAATAGCAATATCACCTACTCCTTCTAAATGTGGATTCTGACTTTGCGGGGGATAAAGATCAGAGGAAATCTACCACTTCTTACTTCTTCACTTTAGGTGATAATTGTATTACTTGGAAATCACAGGTGCAACCTATAATTACACTCTTCAGCACTGAAGCAGAATATATTGCATTAAATGAAGTTGTAAAGGAATGCATGTGGTTGAAAGGCCTTCTATATGAATTAAACTTCTTGAATGATGATGCTATGATTTTTACTGATAGTCAAAGTTCATTGATGTTTTGTAAAAATCATGTTTATCATCAATGTACTAAGCGTATTTAGGTGAAGTATCACTTCATTAAGGAGATTTTAGCTTCTGGTGATTTTATTTTGCTTAAAATTGCAATTGATGACCCTGCACATGTTGGAACAAAAGCACTTGTGGTTGGTAAGTTCAACAAATGTTTATCAATACTAAGTATTGATAATGGTTAATTGTTGTGTAGGTACTAAGCTGGAGTGAGCGATGATGATAAAAATAAGACCACGCAAATGGATATCAGTTGTTACCGGGAAATTTGAAGATGGATGTTATGTGATCCAAGGTGAAGATTTGTAAGATGGATCATATCCTATTATTGGTGCAAGTCTATTGGTCTAGAGAATGTGACTTAGATTGTAATAGTTATGGAGTAATATGGATCATAGATTAAATCCAATGGTTGGATTTAATCTTGTGGTCAATTACCTATACTAGTGTTGTAACTATCTTATTGATCATAGTACAATATTTGAGTTTTGAATTCAAATTAATTGACTCTATAATTACAAGACCTCTTCATTCTCTCATTCTTGGATTTGGTATAATATTTGAGAGAGAGTATAGAGAAGTAACCAAGTGGGAGCTTTCCAAAACTCCGGCAAAATTCTTGGTGGCTTCCGACGGATCCTTTCTCAGTATATCCATTGTCATTCCCATGGACGACGGTGAATGATCCGGTGTGGCACAAATCTGAGCTCAATATCAAGAACACTTCATTGGTGGTGTTGAAGATTTGGTTCGGTTTTACACTTTGAGAGTTTATCATTCCACATTGTAGTTGTAATAATCTTTTATATACTACACTTTAAACTCTACACAGGGACATGGATAGAAATTTAGAAATTAAATAATGAAATCAGGTCATTTGTCGTTTTGTCGGTAGTTCTTGTCAATTGCTAAAGTATTGCCTCAACTAGTATTTGACGGTGGAGATATCTGTGCTTCTCTCATTCATAGCGTGCTCCAACCTGCCATGTCTTTCATATATGTGGAAAAGGATATACCATTTGTTGAAACCACTTAGGCCACATGGTGGTAGTCACTCGTTTGCTTAAACTTTTACCTTAAAAAGTGGGAAAGTCAGAAAACTTAAGTTGATTGGATGACATAAACATCCGACTCAAATAACCTTTTGGTGCAAAAGAGAGGACTTGACTACATGCTTAAATTTACTGCAATTTTCTAATCAAAATATGTTAGCTCACTTTGCAACGAGCTGTGCCAATTGCTTGCATGCCCTTAATTTGGTCTTCATTTGTTAATTTGAGGATGCGCATTACCATGTATTAAGTGTAGGCCTTATTATTTTGCTGAATCTTATTTTCCCCAATTGGAAAACATGTTTACCGTTATATTTTGAAGTTATTGACTCCTTTTGGTTATGTATCATCTGATTTTGCGAGTTCTCTCACGCAGTCATATATTTGAGCTTTTGGGCTGAGGTACACTACAACTCAATCTATCCTCGGGGAGGTAAGCTTTAATTTTTTTTTCCTCTTTTGTTTGGAATGTCTAAATCGACAGCGAAAGAATATGATAGTCAAATGCAGCATTTTTGTGAGCAATTCATTTCTACATTAACATAGCTTCTGTGCTCCAAAGTTACTAGAACTAACATTTGTATTGACCTGAAGCACAACGATAAGTTTTATCCTCGTTCAACTTCACGTCTTTTGCATTATGTTTTGTCGACCCAAATTTGAATTCAGGCTTCAAGCTCTGGAGTGTCGTTGTATAACAAAGTTTTATATTTGTTTCAAGCACAGGTTTCTGCCATTGTCTCTACTAATGCCATAATAGCATTGTTTTATTGAACAGATCAGCTTTCAAGTGATATTTAGAAGAAAAGGTGATGGAACTTCAGAACAAGCACCAGAAGCATTTTTGCTCTACAAGCAAATGCCCAGTTTACTGGTTTTCTTGGAAAAAAATTTGGCATGATATAATTGTATTTTGTTTTCTCCTTGGGTTACCAAATCTCTGTTGATACTATTTGAAGAAATTTTACGATACATGTCAACTGTCAATAAGTCTAAGAAAAAACAGAGAGGTTTGAAAGATATAATATTTCAAATAAAGTTGTACAAGTAGCATTATTGTATTTCAAATGCTATACTTTTCATGTTCTGTTACTTTTTAAAACAATTCAAGCAATATTTCATGATGATCGTTCCACATAGCTATCATTATAAATAAATAAGAATTCTCCTTGTAGAGTTATTCTGACGGAACATTTTTCTCTTTGAATTTACTTGATAGAAGCTATAATTACTCTAAAATTTAACAGAAAATTTCATGAAAAGCAGCTTGGGGGTGACCTGTCTACCTTACGTGCCCTGCCATAGTCAACCACCTATGGGGATTCCAAAAGGATCTTTTATTTCCATGTATGTGACCCTCACAAAATAAACCAGTGTTTATCAATTAAATTTCTTGCAGCCAAAACTACGGAGCATAATAAATCAAAATTCACCTGAACCAATTCTAGGCCTTATCTGGGATGGTAATAATATTTGGTGGGCAATTATTAGGGCAGTTACCTTCTTTCAAATTATTCAACATTTGTATCATTAATGCACAGAATTTAATCCAAAATTGATTAAAGTTCATTTATTGATTGATAACAATCACTGGAAAGCCATAACAACTTAAGAGATAGACATAGTTAAAGTTTTTACACAGATAAAGATTTAATAAACTAAAACAACATAGCCCTACAGGCCATTTCCAGGAAATCCATGAAAGTTCTCCTCCTGCCCCAACGGCTGGAGGAGCATAGCAGTAAATGACATTGGCCGCGGCAGAGGTGGCGATGGCGGCTGTGGAACCGCGAAGCCACGATTTCCACCTTCTTGCATGGCTTTCGTCGGCTGAAAAGCATGGTTCGCTGCAGGGACATGGACAGGGACCTGATCGATGTTGGAAGCTTGGATTCTGAACGCGGTGGTGGTGACGGAGTTCATCGGACTGACTCCAACCCCCGTCACAGCAATTATTGCTGGCTCCGCCTTGTGGAGTAGCCATTGTATGGTCTCTCCATCGGTTTTGTGTCCGAGTTCCCGAGTGAGCTGAATCACACGGGCTGCACAACTTCCCGGAATTCTTATTCTCCTGCTCCGACCGTCCACTTTCTTGTGGCGGTCCTTTCCTGACGGTGGCCTACTAGCATTTTTTCTGGCGACCACCTTTCTCGAAGAAGAAGATGTTAAATCGGAGACAAGAGGAGGAGGAGGAGGAGGAGGTGGAGTGGAGGTCTGAGGGTGGGGGATGGTGTGGGATCGGGATTTCATATTTGTTTGAGTAATCTCAGAGTTTGAGAAATTTTGCTGAGACATCTTGGAGAGAGAGAGTGACACTCAATTTTTTGGAATGTCCTGAGAGTCTACCGGAGCTGACTTTTATAGATGTAGAGCTTGGTCCTATGACCTAACGTCTTAAATGTGTTGAATTAAAGCGACAGAACTATAAAAAGATTTCATAAATCCAGTTATGAATTTCATAAATAAGATTTATTTTGCGTCCCTTTTTTTTGGACACAATTTTTTATTAGATTACGTTGTTGTAATTTTCTTTCGTTTTTCATTGTTAGAAATATATAGATATAGTTTTAGGCCTACCTTTTCCATCACTAATTAATTAGTTACAACATAAAAATGTCTGATAAAATATTATTGAGTTTAACCGTAAAATTTTTGTACCTACTAGAAGAGAGGACCGTTAAGATTCTCTAGTATGTTTGTATCAATGTATAATTATTTAACACGTGTTAACGAACAAATGCTAACTTTACATACAACTTAAGGGTATAAATATGTTAGTTGATAACAGTTGAGATTTTCTTGTACGTGTGTGTTTAATACGAATTTACCGTACAACTTCTTTAGTATCACAAGACAAAATATTGTAGTCGGCGCAATTTTTTAGTTGTCTCCAGCGACTACTCTATTATATGCAAATAATTTTAGTAGGTACACCAAAAATTTCATAGTAATTATACATTGGGCATTTCAAATTAATATAGTTTCTTAGTTAGTACTATATGCCTAGTCGAATAATAGGAAATTAGGCAAAATTCTCTAAAAAGTAACCCAATGAGATTAATACCCTGAAGTAATTAAACGTCACCTAAATCCCATATTAATTACGTCCTAAACTAAAACAAACCCCCCAAAACCCCAAAATCTCCCAGTGAGTACAGACAGAGACCACAAAGTGTGCGCCCACCCCATTGATTTCGTGTCGGGGGAGCCGCTTCTCCTTCCACGAAAGTTCTAGAAAAATCTAGCCTGCATGGAACTAATTCAAAAGTCAGAGGCTTCTTATCTGAGAAAATGAGAGGAGGCTATTCAGTAGACGTTGCAAGTTATATTGCTTTCCTTCCAACCCGTCCTACGATAAACAGAAAGGTACCAAGTGACCGATTCTTCATCGACAGCATTAACCCGAAAACCATTAATATGTGGTGGTGAGAATTTGATAACTGTTTTTTGATGGAAAATGTTGTTCAACACTCAATAAGCAAATGGAGTATGGAATGAAAAATGAAGATGGTAGCTGCAACATAAGCCTATGCGACCATAGTCCATGCGGCCGAAACTGGGAGGCCAGTTTTGGTATAAACCATGCGACCGCATGGGATTACTCCCTGCGGTCGCATGATTGTATTTTAGTGACCGTTGGAAGTCGATTTTGTTTTAATTCTGGCAATTTTTTAGAGGAAACATTGCAACTTTTCATAATGATCTGACACCTATTCGTGAGGTATTGATTCAAACCTATAAATAGATGATGAGATGATCAATACAAAATATAGAAATCATATTACAAACATATGATGAACATTCTTTCATTCCACAAAATGAAACCAAAGTCTTCTTCATTTATATTCAAATTCTCTTAGGTGTTCTTCAAGTTTTGGAGAGTCACATAAGTGTTTAAGTGTTTGATTCTCTACAAGGCTTGATTAATCCTACAAACTATTTGTTACGAGACCCTTTAAGCACTAAAATTATATACGAGAGGGGGCAAATATCGTTTGAAGACAGCGATATAATGTCGTGTTTGAGCCTTCATATTTATTTAGGTTTTTTCCATTATTTTCATCTTCTTGAATTTTCATTTCTCGATTTCTTCTCCAAACCTCGGTGTGATAATTTTCCAACAATCTCAAACGATATTTGGTTATGGAGAACGAAATCACTTTGGTGACAATCAAGTTTATAGATTGAGATTCTTATTTGTGTGGACCATTTGATGGGACAAACTTCACAAGATGTTTCGACTTGTAGAAAGATATGAATCAGATTCTGTAAGTTGAAATTATGGTCGATTTCTATGAACACAAAAGGTATGTTTGTGAATATAATTATGTACGTCTATTTTTCCAACAATAGAATTAACCCTATGCGGTTGTCTGTGCATTTTATATTCTGTTTTAGTGCATAATTCATGATTAGAATTCTGTTAGGAATCATTAACTGAACATCTAATACTGCATGCTCTCTTCCTGTAATTGGGACTGACTTTTGATCTTAAATATGTATTAAATGACAAAAAAAAGGTTTAAAGAATTGGAAACCCATCTCTGTGCATGTGATGGATATATGTCTTATTTTATGGAAACACATGGCAATGGAAAACACTATTAAAAAACAGCTTTTCACCTACGGAAAATTACCAACGGATGCACAGAAATATGTCTTATTTTATGGAAACACATGGCGATGGAAAACACTATTAAAAAACAGCTTTTCACCTACGAAAAATATCCGTTGGTGATTAAAAACGGATTATTCGTTGGTAAACGTAATTCACTTTTAGATACGATAATTAGCAACGAATTTTTCGTTGGTAAAGATGATATCTCTTTACCAACCGATATTCCATATCTAATGTAACAATTTAATATTTGGATCTTCCTCCAACGGATATTCCGTAGGTGATGTACCGAATATTACCAACGGATTGCATCCGTTGGTAATTAGAAACGGATTATTCGTTGGTAAAAGTAATTCACTTTTAACTACAATAATCAATAATGGATTTTTCATTGGTAAAGATGATATCTCTTTACCAACGGATATTCCGTGCTAATATAACCGTTTAATATTTTGATCTTTTACTTACAGATATTTCGTTGGTAATTAGAAACGAATTATCCGTTAGTAAAAATGATATCTCTTTACCAACGGATATTCCGTGCCTAATATAACCGTTTAACATTTTGATCTTTCAGCAACGAATATTCCGTTGGTAATTAGAAACAAATTATCTGTTGGTAAAAATAATTCACTTATCCCACACCGAAAGTTTACAATAATATCTTTGTAGTTGCTCTCTATAAATTTGTGGTCCAATAAGGAGTTAAACAATATTTTGTTTGTAAAATTATATATATATATAATTATTAAATAAATAATAATAATAATAATAATAATAATAATAATAATAAATAAATAAATAAATAAATAATTTTTTACCACGGTTATTTAAAACATTGATTTTTACCAATTTTAATTGTATAGATTTACCAACGGAAAGTCGGTTGGTATTGGTTAAGACTTTTACCAATGGAAATTCCGTTGGTAAAAGATTCACACTTTACCAACGAAAAATTCGTTGGTAAAATATTTACTCTTTACCTACGGCACGATTAATTGGTAACTATCAGCAACCCTCAAATTATCAACGGGTTTGTGATTGCAAATATTTTGTTGACGAAGATTATTAACAACGGATATTGAGGCTTTAGTAACGGAAAATCGGTGCCTGAAGCTTTGTTTTTTAGTAGTGAAAGAATTGATAACAATATATTTGTTCTGATTTTTAGACTCACATGCCAATCATTTTGTTAAAACTGCCTTAATTCAAAGTTGTATTATCAGTAAATAATATTGCAACAAAGTTATGAGTAACTTCTGGAATGCATTTTCGTTCCCAGCATGTGTGTGCATTCTGGAATGTCCACAATTTTAATTGTTGGCAGTTTATTTTCTGGCTCCTTTCTAGTTCATATGATGACGATATTTGGGGTCAAAGGTGATATGATAATTAGTTGTGAAATTCATAATACATTTTGATATTCATGAACCGATGCATGCATATTTGTGTATTGTATTTGAAATTAAATGTAACTTTTCACAATGCTGTTGCATTCATGCCTATTCATTGTAAAGGAAAATAGTTGAGATAAGTTAATCTTTTGATTTTATATATTTTCCTTGTTAGACTTACAATTCTGGAAGTTAAGAATATAGAAATGATGACCAATGATTTAATTTTCATTAATTCCTGTTTGGAAGGAAACCAAGAGATTTGTCACTTCAATTATTTATCCACGACATGAGAATGGATGTCTAATTGTTTGAAATATGAGTATGGCAAAATGTGATTTTGTCCAAATATAAATAAGGTGAATATGTACCTTATCATTTGAGATGATATGATGCTATCTTGTGAAGGTCACGAAAGTGATAAATTGCATATGATTGGAGAAATTGCAATTCGTATAAATCAAGAAGTATAGTCCTATTCGTTATTGAATTGGACTTCAATCATGGAACCAAATTGAGTTGGTTTATACTTGAAAGCATTAATGGTCTATGAGATGACCTTGATCAAAGTGAATTGAACTATGAAAGAGTTGATGAACTCTAAGTTCAATTACAATTCCAAATGTGGGGTTGACATTGATGAATTCTAAGTTCGAGTACAACCCGAAATGTGGGGGTTGACATTAAATACTTGTGAACTTATACGAAAAGTTCAAGACTTATGGATACAATTTTACAAGATCGCATATGAATTTCTAAATGAGGAATTGTGGGGGTAACTTGATTTAATAATTACAGTTGCTTATACTTTTTAATAATATTAAGATATCTACAAAGGGAGAAAAGGTAGAAAAGCCCTTATGATTATAAATATAAGGATGAAATACACTAAGCCTAAATGGATGAATTGGGTGAAAGCTGACCATGGCACTTGCAAAACCAATTGGAATATTTAAATAATATTTACAAATTGAATACCCATTTGTGAAATCCACAAAATTTAAAGTGAGTGACAAGTGTATTAGCTGATAAAATTCTTCCAACTGTATTTGGAAATTTATAAGCTTTGAATAAAGCTAAGTGAAAGAATTCTTGGCGGTGACAAGTTGTATCTATCAAATGAATCGATCATTGGTTAGCCATATTTTGATAAGATACTAAGTCACATGAAATAAAAAGTAAAGACTAAGTCTTAGAGCTGACGTCTCAAGGAAATTATCAAAGGGAATAATTTTCGAAGAGAATTTAGAGGATCCTTTAACTAGACCACTAAATAAAATTTT